AGCAAGCGTCGTTCTCTAAAGCCCAGATGGTCCGCACACTGAGAGCAGTGATCCAGTTCACAGCTGTACAGACCGGAATCGGACAACTCGGCGGAGGACTTCTCTAGTCGGAAGTATTCCCCATCCTCGTTGATGTCCACAAAGAATCCGGTATTTAGTGGTTGCGCTTCAGAGTGCTTTCCATAATAACAGCGAACCTTGGCCTGACCGAATTGATCGCGTCGCCCTAGGATGACTATCTTCTCGCCAATATGGACTGAAGCTTTCCAGCCAACGCGAATGCGTACCAACCGATAGGTTCCACTAGTACGTGTGTCAAATTTCGGCTTGCTCTCATCGTGGTTCGTGGTCGAACCGACACTCAACCATGACCTGACGACCCGTACTACGGAGTCCGCAAACGCCTGTTCTAGATCTGTCCGGTTTGTTATGGGATCCACCGAGTTCATTGCATATACAACAATTGCCTGGTGTTCCGGTTGCACGAAGCACTCGAAACTCGACTGGTTCCAGGTACTGTTTGTTCGTACTGGTGAAGTGTTCACTTTTGCTGTGCACGCCTGCTTGCTGTGATTGACTGACCCATTATACACTGTCCAGATCCCTGTCCACCCCAACGGACTTCCAAGGTCAAATTGGTAGTTCACCTCCAGGAAACCCTCCTCAAACCGCTGCGCATTCACATTGCTTTGGAAGAATTCTTTGTCCGGATTGGATGTCAACGGATTAGCGAATAACACGGTTACCTCTGGTTTGTTTGTTTGAATCGATTCGGTTCTGATGCGGGGCTCGATCAAGTCCCGTGCGTCCATACGGCTGGAACTACTCTGTACCACAAAATGATTCATGGCATTGATGTCCTCGTGGCTAGTGACTTCACTGAAATTGGCCGAGCACGTCACGGTCACGTAGTCGCCCGGGCTGTGTACTTCTGCCCCAACTATTTCATATGCGTCTAGTCGAGTATCACTCACAGACCCTTCAATATGACTTGATCCGATTTCCCTAGTTCGCTTTGTAATAGGCACACTGTTGTTGTCGTTGTGAAACATATAATAGAACCTATAGTCCGTCTCG